TTTTTTGAAGTGAAACTTCTTTACGCACGGTAGGGTAAGTTCGTTTCATACGAGTTGCTATGTAACGAAATCATGCAACGGATGTCCCCCCTCTACTCGGCCACGTAGTCGAGTTCGTAGTGGGGATCGCTTGAGCCGTGAGCGCGCTTCAATGCACACAATCGTTACAGGCAACTCCGGCATGTATAGTGTAGCCCTAACAAAATGTATGAATGCATTTGTATGTGTGCCTACACTCTACAGTCGAAACGACGCCACTGACGCCAATTCCTTAACCCCTATCCCGGTATGTTTGTGTGTTTGAAGAAGTTTCACTTCAGTAGCGTGTTGTATAATTACACGTTGTATTTTTTTTATAATTGTATCCGAGCCGAAATTCTTTAAATTCTATTTAAACCTAAAAACCTTGATTCCTTTTATGTTTTTGTATGAGGTCTGTTCAAAAAGTATCGCGAATTTGGAATTTCCCTGGATTACGTATATTCGATTTTCGATGCTTTTGGGGCGTTAGGATTGTGAGGTTAAAACTTTTTTCATCATAGTAGTATTTTGTTGGTTTTTTAGCTTTCAAAGCTTAGGAATAGCTTTATATGATTAAGAAAAAAATCTGTTCTAAGTATAATAAAAACGCTAGAAATTGTGACTTCTATTAAATTTTTTTTTTCTTACCTTAACCATTAAAGCTGATGCCGAAAGACCAGGGGAACAATATCGTATTCATTAGATTTCGTTTTGTTTTTGCGAAATCGTCATAAACAGTAGAGCTAAAGGTATTAAAAATATTCATTCACACCATACATACAATGTCGTAAAATTGTTTAAATGGTATGTACGCGTATTTAGGTTAGTTAGGTAATGTTTTAACCAATAAACCACTATCTAATCTTTTTACATCACAACATCTGGAGGTTTTTTGTTTAATTGCACTAACTATTAGATATTGCAACAAACTTCATGAGGCAGATTTTCATTTTAATTTTAATTTTTCTTACTTATGATTATCCGGTACCTAGTTAGTAATTAATGTTTAAAATTATCAGGAAATTTGGGTAATTTATTAAATATCCTTTAGGTATGATAATGGATAGATACATTGGGCACGCAAAAAAATGATATACTGGAATGACCAAATATTTGCCCTTCTGATAAAGGTGAATCAGTACTGTACAATACCTACATCGGTCCACAGATAATATAAAAAAATGTGTATTTATTTAGCAGGTAACAGTAGGTATCATTTTATAATAAAACATCATTAAATACAGGACAACTTTAGGAATTCATATACGGGGGCATAACATTAGTAGTATCCTTAGATTTCTATGGCATATAGCAAGGAGGAGTTAGAGATAGCTTTTAGTAAAATGGAAGCGGTATTGGTATTGACAAAACAGCATGGCATGAAAATAAAATAGTAAAAGTAAAGCAACAGTGTTGGTAGGCAATAAAAAAAAAGTAGGGAAAAAGTTAATATAAAAATATAAAAATATGAGTTAGAAAATTCAGGACGAAAGGAGCAGTAGTATCGTGGTTAGAGAAGGTTAGAAATGAGGAGGTATTGGAAAGAGTAGGCGAACAGGGGGAATTCGAAATAGGCTGGTAGGGCACCTTCTCAGGCATGATGGGCTATTTCCGAGATAAAAATGTTCAGTCTCGCAGAGTCTCTGAAAGCGAGACTCCAGTCTCCGTCTCTCATCGAGTCTCTCTGGTGTCGCTGAGAGAGAGACTCGAATCTCTCAATAAGTGGTGTCTCGATATTAGACATATGGTTAAAAACTTCAACATATTTCAGAGATCCCAGTCTTTCTACGAGAGACCAGAGTCTCTCAATTTTTCAGTTTTATTCATTCAGTCTCTCTGTGAGAGACTCGAATCTCTGAATTAACAATTTTATCGTTCGAGAGACTGAAAATTTTTGTCTAGGGTTTGGAAGGATATTAGAAGTAGAAATAGGAGATAAGAGGAGTTGAGGTAGATCTAGATCAAATCACTATTGTCCAAGTCCAGTCTTAGGACTGACAACCCTATAATCATGAAGGTGAATATTAATATAATATACATACATATATGTATATATTAACGTAGCCATTACAATTTTATTAATGATCTTCAGGATAATTACATATCATCATAAGCTCATCAGCTCAAAGACTGGATGGCACGTATCTCGACTTCCTCCTATCTTGATTTCCTTTTCGCATTTCTCGAAAACTAGAGCAACCTCTAATCCCTGACCCTCTTACCTTATGCTTCTGCATCTAATATGACTCGTTACCTTTTATTGTTAAAGAAGGTGCCCTACCGACCTATCTCGCCTAACTCTTTAATATTTTCTAGTAATAATCTTTTTAGAATTTTTAGTTTTTTTTTTCGGTTCCATTCTAATGTATCAGACCATTATTGAAATTACTATTTCTTGTTCACTGATTATGCGAAATTCGATACAATATAATTAGCGTGCTTACTCATGGAACATACTCCCCAACCTAGGATTTCAAGTGTGATAGGTCTCACATTATCGATGAAAGCTGAGCATAATTTTATCGGTTTCTTTTTGCAGTCTTTTTAAAGTTAAATGTAATTCGCGTACTTTATATTTATAGTGTAGCGGCAATTCAAGAAGCACCTAAAATTGACGCATATGAAACATCCAAAGATGTATTCACAAATATGAGCTATTTAGAGTTTAGCATGGCCGCTATTCTTTATTATTGTATCAAAGAAGCAAATTTTGTGGAACAAGCGTCTCGTATGACAGCGATGGACAACGCAAGTCGAAATGCGAGTGACATGAGAAGCAAACTTCAAACTACTTACAATCGTTTGAGACAGTCTGCTATTACCACAGAACTTATAGAAATTATTGGTGCATCGGAATCGATGAAATCGACTGAATAATCTTTCATTTTTAGAAGAAATAAATACAAATGGCACAATTTCGTGTTTTTTCTTGAAACAATTGTATTGTATGTTTGTTATTTGCTAGGGACTTTTTTCTTTAAAAAAGTGCACTCAATTTTTGTCATTTACTACATTGTACGATATACGAGGGTGGATTGATAAGTTTCCGGCCTGACCAAGAAAAACAAGGTTTTTAAAAATTTTTTTTNAAATGAGGATCTTTCTATGAGCGACTCGAGTCTGTCGTTCAGAGACGCTAAACAGTTTTTTGACAGTTTCTCAGCGACACCAGAGAGACTCGATGAGAGACGGAGACTCGAGTCTGGCTTTTAGAGACTAAGAGACTGAACATTTTTATCTCGGGAAGTTTTAAGGAAAAAAATCAAGTTCAATCTTTATTTCTTGTAATTTGGTTTAATTTTCCAAAAAGAAATGTTGTATAAGTTACAGTAGGACTTATTTTAGATAGTTTGAGCACAACTGATTATTGTAATACAAAACATAAATCTGTTTAAAAAACCGATCTTTTTTTTGCGCTCCCATAATTGTGGCGGGGTGTAGATTAAAAATACGCCAGTATTAGGATTACTGGGTTTTCGAAAATATTTTTATGTTTTTACAACAATTGCAGTTAAAGGAGATTTAATATTTACCTAATAAAACTGCGAATTGTAACCTTTTCAGATTTAGGAATAAGACAAATACGATCAATTGTAATAAATAGCCGTTTAATAAATGTGTCATTTTTATTTTAATATTAGTTTTGGCAGCGTCGAATATTACAATAAATTTTTTACTACAATTCTAGTAACCTATAAAGTTTTGGTTTTGTCAATAATGACAATGTCTTCGTTTTTTGCAACGTTTGTGAAAATCTTATTTTATATTTTTTGATTTTTACATACTTATATACTATTTTTGGAAAGGGAAAGGAATGTGTTTTTTAACGATGTCGCGGTTTAGTAAATGGTTGAATACATACCAAGTAAAACACAATGTTCCTTTTCGCTCCATGGCCACTTTAAGAGAACTTAAAGATCGTTTAACTTCTGTTGGCAATATTGGTAAAATAGCAAAGTCAATGAAAATGGTTGCTACAGTTAAATTTGCGAGGGCTGAAAGGGAAGCTAAAGAAGCTGCAGTATTGGGTAAAGCCGCAACTGATTTTTTTCCTAAAATAGAGGCAAAGGAACTTGAACACCCAGATAAACCTCCAAAAAAAGTTTTATTTGCCGTAACATCCGATAGGTAATGCTATTAGGATAGGGATTTTTCACATCGTGTTTTAAATTTATTGATAATTAATAACTACAAGGAGAAAACGAAAAAGGAAAATTTACCGAAATATTAAAGCGATATTTACAATTTATCCCACTAGCCCGTTGCTTTGTAAGCGAAAATAATAAAAATTACAAGTTGGATCCGAATTTGTAAAAATAAAATCTCAGCAGAAATAAATTTACTAGGTATTTTAGTTGATATTACAAATTAGATTGTAATAATTAAGAAATTTGAAATGATTTAAAAAAAAAACATGTCAAAATTGAGATTATTACAAGTCACCTAATAAATTCTACTATTTCTACGGCAAATTAAGTCATTTACAATCAAAAATTGTAAGTTTTACGTTGTCATAAAAATTTAGTTCTCTCCGTGTAGGAAAGGCCAATTTGATTCTTTGCAAAATATTATAAAGGTTTCCAAAATTTCATCCACTTCTTGGGAATGATTAACAGAATTAAGCAAGGACCTTAGTATAAAGTGCCTACTTGCCTAACCGAATGCGGTGAATGTGAGACATTCAACCTGGAAAAATTTCAACCGCATTGTTTTTCGGGAATCCCTGAAATAGGTCAATTTTTTCTTTAAGGGGGACATCTATTGATTTTCGTTCTCCCAAAGGGAGTGACAACCCCTTCAAGAATCTTAAATGACGTGGGAGCCCAATATGCTAGCGCAGATATATTTGTGCTGTGCAACAATTAAATGTGAAAACCTTGTAAAAAAGTAAGAAAACATCGACTCTATCCGTATACCTAATAAGATTCATCTCTCGTGTAAGAGCTTATTGAAGATGATTCAGATCGTAGTAATTCGTTGTCCCAATTTTCTGTATTTACGAATGCACGTTCTTTCTTAATGATTAAGTAAACAAACATAATTGGAGCTGTTGGAGTTATTTGAATTGCAAAATTATGAGAGAGTTTCTAGAAAGCTGAATACATGGGCGGGAATTTTAGGAAACTGGTATTACTGGCCCGTTTTTTCACCGCATCATTCGACTGACGAATTCGACTGACGAATTCTACCTACCCCCGCATTGCGGAGATTCTTAAAAATGACAATCACATTAAAGAAAATGATGCTACGTTTTGCCTGTATGTAATTTTTTGAATCAGAATTTTTATGACACCATTTAAAGAGAGTTACCTATAAAATGGAACATACCTGATTAGAAGATCTACGTTACGAATTATGACTGCATGTAGTGAAATAATCCTTAGAATACTGCAAAATAATATTGAATAAAGATTTGTTTACAGTATGGAAGTGAATGGCTTGCAATTTGAATATTTAATCAATAAAACTTGTTGGAGAACTCTTTATTTAATTTCATCTGGGTCTTCACATTAATTATAGTGTTAGCATTTTTTTAAAGATAATTGAAACGCCTTTGACTTCCCGCTTTATTTAAGATTCTTGAAGGAGTTGATATACCCTTTAGAAGAATGAACATACATCCATTAAATCACAATCAAACGTTGCCCCCGTCGAGACTGCTCATGGGGTGCTGATGAGATCAAATAAGATCATAATCGCGACCCACGTGTTGCAGTTTCGATAAATTACTGACCAAGAACTTAATTCGTTCTTACTAATTATTAATTTCATCATAATCCTTTTCAGAGGGCTCTGTGGCGGGGTTCATAGTAGTGTAGCTAAAAAGGTCATGCAACTCATTGATTCTACATCAGATAAGAAAAATATTATGGTATTCTGTGTTGGAAACAAATCGAGATCTATTATGCAGAGATATTATCCAAAAAATATTTTATTTGCGGCAGTCAATATCGGCAGGGTGCCGGCTGTGTTTGGTGATGCAGCAAAACTGATTAACGCGGTTCTTCGTTCTGATTATGAAGTCGATTATAATTATATTGTTCATAATCGTTACGTTTCGATGGTTTCATTTAAAACAACTGTAACCCCATGTTACAGGTAACAGAAATTAATACTTTTTAAGTGAAACTTCTTTACGCACGGTAGGGTAAGTTCGTTTCATACGAGTTGCTATGTAACGAAATCATGCAACGGATGTCCCCCCTCTACTCGGCCACGTAGTCGAGTTCGTAGTGGGGATCGCTTGAGCCGTGAGCGCGCTTCAATGCACACAATCGTTACAGGCAACTCCGGCATGTATAGTGTAGCCCTAACAAANCAGCCAGTAATGCTGGTGGACGGGCAGTCCCTCCGGACTATGCCGGAAGGTAGGGCGGAAGGCCCTCTTCAGCCTGCTTTCAGGAATCGTGGGAATGGGTGGGTGGTGGTTCTGGTGAGAAAGATGAGACGGACGAAATGAAGACAGAAGAGAATGAAAGATTGTCTGCGGAATATTACCGCCCCAGCATTTGCGTAAGTAATTCAAGAAAATCACAGAAAAACTTGGACCAAGGTAGACGGACCTGGAATTGAACCGGCGTCCTCCCGAATGCTAAGTAATGGTCTAAACCTCTAGGTCATGTCGCTCGTAAAACTGAAGACAAGAAAATTGACAACTTATTTAAATAAGATTTATTTTTTCCATTAAACCATGATTAGAATCAGAAACAGGAGTTAAGAGGACCTAGATTAGATTACGGTTCACAAATAGTTAAGGATGTTGGATGTTTTAGTAGAATAAAATTCAGAATAAGAAAGAGTGGAGGTGCGTGTCCAACCAGTTTTAGGACTGACGACCTTATGATGATGATGATGATTAAATCATGATAGTAAATAAACTGTTTGAAGACGGTCCTCTCTTCAAATTTAGATATGTGCCACGTTTGACTCAAAAGCTGGCAGTTATTGAAAATATTTTCTACATAGACAATTATTCATACACTTATTTTCTAGTGAAAACCAATCAGTTGTTTTTAAAATGGTAACCGATGCTGAAATTATCATAACATAAATAAATTTGTATTTATTTAATAAATTTCAGCGGAAATTCTGTCACTTATTACCTACTGTGTTGTTTCTTCCAATTCATGCCGCCTCGTGGCTTATATTTAGAACAAGCCACTGGTTGTACACATTTTATCCTTATTCCATAACTTGAACGTTTAATCTACTTGGCCGGTATCCAAACGAAAATCGATTTATTATCTTAGTCTTAAAATCTTATTTATTGTAGCGAAAGGCCGCTGTAAGGTATGCAAACGTATGATTCAGACAAATAAGTCGAGATATCTTAATCTAAATAGCTGCATTACGAGGAATTTTGGAAAATAGAGAGTAAGTCGAGTTCACAGAGCAGTCCTTATCGTTTCTACTGACGGTGAAACTTATAATAGTCGTATAATGCAGTTAGTGTCTTGTTCTACCGTTTAACCTCATAAACACCTGTGTTTTGTCGATGTTCCGGTTAAGTTTAAGATGTTAATGTCATTTTCTCAAATTAAACGTTACCGCTGCGTAGAGCTTTAGTGCTTTATGTTTGAAAATGTATTTCCCCATCATTTAGGAACAAGTAGTTGGGATTTAGTAATCGAATTAGTCTACATATAAAAATGCTGTGTAATTTGTGATTCAAAGGCGTTCAAGCTTTTCATAACCCTTAAAATAATTCCAAAATGTTTAAGGATTTCAATCTATAATTGCTTTTGAAGTAATTAGGGCTTCAAGGGCTAAAGCTCTTTAAGTATGGGATTTGGGTTTAGGGATTCGAGGTCTTTTGGTGAGGAATTTGATCTGTTAAACGTGACGGGTGGACTTTCGATTTTATGATAAAAGTATACTAAGTACCAGGGTTGACATGTTTAAAACACAATCTAAATAAAAATATGTTCTACATCAAGGTGCTTTAAACTGCGATTAAAATATCGCATAGTAATCATTATTTAAATTCTTTTGGATAGAGTAAAAGTAGTTAGCTCACTATATAAATTTGCAATAGAATTTCTATCACAGTTTATACACTCAGCCATGCGTAAAAACCAATCGTCAAAAATGTCCTTCTTTTCTTCTGGGAGATCGGAACAGGTCTGATTAAAAGCAGTTAAAACTTCAGTATCTGTTTGAAATATTCTCTCTTTCAACTAATCCTTGATGATTGGAAAAAGAACAACGTCACAGACAGCTAGGTGTTTTACAATTACCCGGTTATTTAATGCACTAAAAATAGATAAAGGATGATGTGTAATGTCTAGCAGATGCTGATGTCCATTTTAATTTATTCAAAACCCATCATGTGTATTGGTGAATAAATGTACTGACAATGAGTGAGAAGTTGAGTGAAACTGATTGAATGGGAATAGTCGAATCATTTACATTAGTAAGGCAAAGTCTTTAATTATTTTAGACATACGCCTTTATGAGTAAATCTGAATCGATCAATTATTAGGAATAGTACGTCTGGTTTTTATATTTTTTTTTTCGCGAAGATAAGTCTAGTAGAATTAAGGAGTATCTCTGATATGGAATAGTGTTTCTAAAGTTCTTAAATTGTTTTCGCTATTTCCATCTATAAGTGTTTAAATGTGATGTGAAATTCAACTGGAACAGGCAATAGTGATACAGTCTACATAAAAAGATACAGCACTTCTCTTGGACATGACCCACTTTTATCACAAAAGTTCAAGTACAACCTTCTAAAAACGTCTAAACTAAGAAGCAAAACAAAAACACTTTATGTTTAGTAAATAAACCCGCAAATGCCTATCTACTATTCTCTTAATTACAATTCAAATTTAGCCTGCACCTACGAAAGTTTAAACGCCAAAGCTCCCTAAAGAATTAATCAAAAACACTCTAACTCCTAAGCTCCAAGCCCTTACTCAAAGTGCTGTAGTTCTGGAAGATCTGATTACATTTTAAAATCCAAGGATTTTAAATTACCGACTACTTCGAATTTTAATCTATACATCGAAGATGCGATCAACATCATCAAAGACAGTACAACTATAGGGATAGATATACAGGGGCAAAATATTAGTATGCTTAGATTTGCAGATATAGCAGTATTAGCATCTAGCAAGGAGGAATTACAGATATTAGCTTTAAATAAAATAGAAGCGGTATTGTCAAAACAATATTGTATGAAAATAAATAAAAGTAAAACAAATACACTGGTATGCAAGGGAAGAAAAAGTATAGGCAGAGCGAATATAAAGATAGGAGACGAAAAATTAGAAGAAGTAGCTGATTTTATGTATCTAGGAAGTCAGATAAGTCAGGACGGAAGGAGTAGTAGGGATGTAAAGCAGAGGATAGCACAGGGTCGAGTCGCCTTCAATAAAAAGAAGTCACTTCTATGCTCGCGAACGGTTAATTTAGAAATTCGAAAAAGATTGTTGAGGGTGTATGTTACGAGTACGGNGGCAATAAAAAAAAAGTAGGGAAAAAGTTAATATAAAAATATAAAAATATGAGTTAGAAAATTCAGGACGAAAGGAGCAGTAGTATCGTGGTTAGAGAAGGTTAGAAATGAAGAGGTATTAGAAAGAATAGGAAAACAGAGGACTGTAGTCAATAAGAAATAGGCGAGGTAGGTTAGTAGGACACCTTCTCGGGCATGAAGGTCTAATCAGAGACATATTAGAGGCAGAAACGGAAGTCAGGAGGGGTAGAGGCAGACCTAGATTAGATTACTGTTGACAAATAGTTAAGGATGTGGGTTGTTCTAGTTTTAGGGAAATGCGAAGTTTAGCTCAGGATAGCAAAGAGTGGAGGTACGTGTCCAACCAGTCTTGGCCTGACGACCTTATGATGATGATGATGATGATGATGAGTACTTCGAAATCAATTACATACATTTAAATTTCTAAGTACTTTTATAAAGTAATTCGTTTACCAATTGCCAACTACTTATTCAAAAAAGGAATTGGATTACGGTGCTTGGTTTTTTCGTTAACATTTATAATAACTATCAGAAATGACTAATTACTTAGTCTTCCTAGAATGATACGCATTGTTTGTCATTTTTCAGTGGCAGCAGTTTGGAATGAGCGCTTTCCAAGTTAGCCGTTTAGATAAGTCACGGAGCGAATGCTTTTGGACTAAGGTGGCTACAAATAACTGGTTGAGAATGATGTAGACTTTTAGTCATTTTCGAGTGTGTATGTTCGTGGTGCATTACGTCAATTCATTCATTAATAGCAAACCTTAAGTTAAAAATAAGTCGACATCTAAACGGAAAATAACATATTGGCATGTCGCGAATGCTTGTTTTGTTACGAACGTTTAGAAACAATTTATTAGCAATATGTTAAAGAGATATAACCCAAACGGAATTCCTTTTTTCTTGTTGTTTTTGTTGCAGTCAGTTGTGTTTTTTTTTTTACATAAAACCAATATAATAACTGAAAAAATGCAATAATTATCCATGTTAAGTCAATGTAGAAGCTTCTAAAATTTGCTGCATTTTATTTATTCAATCGAAAGCTGAAAGTAAAGCGGTCAGAAATTTCTTTGACTTCCATCATCCAACTAACGACGTCTGATTAGGGCTGCCATCACCTAAATTGCTGACGCCGGATAAACGCGGCAAAAATCTAGGACCTTTCAGCGAAATATGGTTTTTCTCTGGACACCCCTGAAAAAATATTTTTTGCAACAAAAATAAAAACATCGTTATAGCTTTTTAATTTTTATTCATTTATACAGCTTGTTATTAAAATCGAATTAAGTACGGATGTAACCGCAACAAATAATAGACATTTTCAATATAATTAAACGTTCTTTCTGAGGTAATATGGTAACAAAAATAATTAGAAACGCTCCTTTTTGGCATTAATCCTATTATTATATGATACTACTAATAACTAACTAACTATAATACTTTAAAATAAGCTACGCCAATGATATTTTCAGTCATTTAGTTAGGTATCCAAATCCCTATATTTGTTGATTGTAAATTAAAAGTACTTAAGTAATTACTAAAACTAAATTTCTCTTGACAACAAAAGTGTACATCCGGACACTTTTTAAAAACCCCTACCGGACAATCCCCGGGCGCCCTTCAAACTAGAACAAATCCGGGGAATCCCG